ATCGGATCCAGTTTCTGGGGACAAGGAAAGAGCATCACGACGGCAAGCCTTCAGAACAAGCTCTTTGCGATCTTTATGTCTCTCGTCCTATCCACCTCGCTCGCGCAACAACAACAACCGATGTTTATTCGATTTCGCTCTCTCTACGAGGCTCGCGAGCGCCCTTCAAAGATGTACGCCTGGCCTATCGCCGTCATCAGCGCCATCCTCGTCGAGATTCCCTGGAATGCCCTCGGCAACACTCTTTATTGGGCGCCTTGGTACTTTATGACCCAGTTCTCTTTTGCATCTGATCGCGTCATCTACAATTGGCTCGCGCTGCAATTCTTCAGCATTTACTGGCTCACTTTCTCGAGTGGTGAGTCGCAGCTTGTGAACAAGACGTGCAGAAGTTTTTCGTATCATTGCGACTGACTCACTGTGCCCCGTCTTGCAGCAATGGCCGCGTTGGCACCAAATGCGCAACTGGCGTCCGTGCTGTTCTCCGTCTTCTTCTCCTTCGTCATCGGTGAGTGCGCTACCACAGTTGAGCAATGTCATGCCATGCATCGACACTGACGGTGTATTTTGTTGCACAGTCTTCTGCGGCGTTGTGCAACCTCCGCCTTTGCAGCCGTACTTCTGGAGGATCTGGATGCTGCCCCTCTCGCCCTTTACCTACCTCCTCGAAGGTCTCCTAGGCAACGTCCTTGGTCCACAAATTGTTCGATGTGCTGAGAATGAGTTCAACATCATCAGGCCTCCTACTGGCCAGACTTGCGAAGCCTATCTCTCGCCTTACTTTACCCGCGCCTTTGGCTATTTCGAGCAGCGGCCCGACGGCGACTGTCAAGTCTGCCAGTACAGCCGTGGAGAAGACTTCCTGACGGGTCTGTCTACCCCCGACTTTGCATTTTCGAGCTCGCATCGATGGCGCAATCTGGTGAGCATAAATGGATGGCCGAGCGTTGAGGAAATTGCGAGCGTCTAATGCCCTTTTCTGATTTTGCTTTCGTAGGGCATTCTTGCCGCGTACATCGGCTTCAACGTTGCTCTGGCGCTCGGTCTCTTCTACCTCGCCCGGATTCACAATTGGAACAAGACGAAGCCCGCAAAGAAGGGCAGCCCGGCAAAGAGCGGCAAGAATGCGGATCTGCCGATGCAGAAAGCGGCCGCTGAGCTGACTGGCAATGAAAAGAGTGAAGAGGGCACCACTTCGGCAAATGCGGAGCAG